AGGAAAGAAAAACGAATATACTGTATGGTAGCCACAACAGTAGAGATACTAAAGTTGTTATAAACAATGTGACAGTTAGTTTTCTTTGTCTTAAAAGAGCTGCACAATGGCGCTGGGGATGATCTCCGAAACGAAACTTAAACAGAATGGACGTGTATGAAACAAAGGTAACAATTAAACACAAAAGACAGTAGGATTCTATTATGTAAAGGTGATATCCAATCAAATAAAGCAACTCTACCCCCCTAATGACTAAAACAATTAGAGGAAAAACCCAGACAGCAGTAATTGCCACCACGTAGACCCATCTCTTGATGAGCCGATGCCTAAATGGACGAAACGTGGCGTGAAATCGCTCTACAGAAATCACAGCAATGTTTGTTAGGGAGACAAGAGGAAAGAAAAGAGAAAAACCCGACAATGAAAAACCAACTTCCCAAGATAAATTCAGTTTTATAAGGCTACATTCCTGTAGGAAAACACATTGAACATAACCCCCGGATAGGACTCCAACCAACATGTCCGCCACGGTTAAGCTTATAACCAAGTACATGCTGCGAGTGCGAAGGTTTCTGTTCTTTATAAAAAGAATGATGACAAGGAGATTCACCGTTACTATAGCAACAGACTTGGCGGTGAATACGGTAAACCAGATGATACACTCGGATGATGAAACAGCCATGTTGAGTTATTTTCGTCGTTGGTGTGATTGTTTCTTGATTTTGTGTTACTCGTAACTGTTAACCTGTAAGAACAATATATAAACCTTGATCAGTGTAAAGAAAGATCATAATTATTAGACTCTTATTAATTTAAATATTTATCCGTTTCTGATTGGCTATAATAGCACACATAATTCATCGCTTAATATATGATATGTGAATAAATGACAGCAAAATTGCCAGATTATTAAACAGATAAAACTGGAAAAAGACAAAGGACGAGGTTGAGTTGTTTTGGTAATGAGTAAAAAATGGCAGAACATCTCACTTGTTTCACGAGGAAGAAATAGATGAAATATAAAGTCAATCGAGCCAACTATGCTTCAATGTGGTTTAGTGCCGAACTTTCTCAAAACTCAGTTTCAGTAAAAATAAACTGTAGCAGTTCAAAAAACGATTTTTTAGGCGCTTATTGGGAACTTAAGTTTGAGGCCGTTTTACACGAAAAGTCAAACACATATTCACTGAATGTTAAATGAAAGAATAAGTTGCTGTTCATACATGTTTTTTAAAAAAAAAAAAGCAGAAGCAGAGGTTCGAAAATGAAACTGTACGCCGCTGTGTTTTGTTTATAAGGCGGAACTAGCAGCTATTGTAATGAAGGACTAAATTCATTTTTTAGAAGACGCAGTGCTGGGTTCAAGATCCGTTGCTTGCTTGTGGCTTAGCCACAAGTTTGTCGATGAATTACCAAAAAGCTGCCGACGTAAGTGTCTAAACGTTGCCGAAAAGTTCCTATTATTATTATTATTATTATTATTATTATTATTATTATTATTATTATTATTATTATTATTTGCTTGCGCTTGAAGTTGGTTTTTGTTGCGGTTTCGATCGTGCACAGTATAAGTAGGTTTTATTCGTATTTCCTTTTTTAAAGAAAACTTCATTGATTAATAGAACTCAAATTCAACAGTTGAATTGATCGCCCCTTCATAGGCACGTTCTTCCCAGCTGGACATTGTTGTCCGCCATTTTGTAAAACGGATCATGTGATACCGCTTACCTCATGGACAGGCGTGCAACACCAAGCTGGCATTGGTAATTGGGCCAGTCCTGGAGTCCACACACTCACTCAGTAGTATAAACCACTTGAATTTAGCTGATGTTTTTTTTTTTTCGATAGCTAATAAATGTCGCAAAAAAAATAAAAAATGATTTAAACCAAAACTTCCCAAGAATTTTAAAAGTGGCCGAAAATCGCAAAAGTTGCCCAAAATCTCAAAAGCTGCCGAAAAGTTGCCGAGCAACTTGTGGCTTTGCCTATTGCTTGGACTCTTTCATGATCAACAACTCCTTTCAAAGATATCCCATCATAGATTTTCGGTTAAAATTGACAAGGAGAAAATATAAGAAAATGTATTGTGAAACTCGCGCCCAGCCTTGCGTTTTCTGGTCCTTCTTTTTGGTTTTTAAATAATTCAGAAAGTTTCTGCACCAACTATAAGTAAACGATAACTAAAAAACATGTTTAATGAAAACAGATACATTTATTGTTTTCATGATCAGATATAAAGGAGTATTAGTAAAAAGACGCCGGGTTTTATTAAGAATAACACCAGGCTGCTTTCCGGACGTCATTTGGATTGCCATTTTTCTTTATTATTTGTTTATAGAAGAACAAGCTAAACCTCAAGGTCACGCACAAAAGTAGCCTTTAAGTTTTGTTATGATTTCAATAAGCAGGGTTTTCTGACAAGTTTAGCCTTCGTGGCAGACGTATCTTAAAGGAAATATGACCCTTTATTCCTTGTGTTATACGCCTTCTTCTACCCTTCCTCCCTCCCTTTATAGAACCAATTTACAGCTTGTGCCTTCCATTTGAAAAGCTGGATTAGCTAATAGGTATTTCCTGTATAAGATCTCTACAAGACATAATTAAGACTAAAATAAAAATCTAACAATACATTCTCCTCAAAGGACAGAAACTTTTTTGGGGGACTCTCAGGTTCATTGACACTTTGTTTGAACTGAGTCATGAGCTTGTAGTATTAATACACAGAAATTCCTCAGAAATGAAGCACTGGCCTACCTTATCAGTGAACTGGTCACCTGTTTAGACGCCGTCTGTTTTTCGTTGTTAGTGGAGGAGACCGCTATCAACTACGGTTACACAAACGAGAAGGCAAAAACTTGGGGAGAAATCTAAAATAAAGTTTGATAAAGCCGTTAGTCCTTTTTGAAAAAATTAAACTGGTCCCTTGTGTTGTTAAACTGTTCACCAAAGTTCAAATTTAGCTGACAAAATTAAAAGCAAGCCGGTTTGTGTGTCTTCCGTGTTCACTTTAGAATATTAAGAATTTATATTTATTCCCTTTACCTAAATAATTCGATGCCAAATCGTATGTAACTTGACGTAACATTTTCTACTGGAATTACATTTACCTTCTTTTTAAAAGGGCGCTGGCAGTTTAAAAAAATAAAACAGCAAAACGAAGACTGACCGGCGATATAAACGAGTGGAGCAAGACAAGGTCTATTGTATTCTGACTCAGTGTTTGAGTTTCTTTGTCGATCACAAAAGCACTTGCCACTGTTTAATACATTGCCTAAAAATGATAAGTATCTGAGCTTTACTTCTTAATACGTATTATAGCATAGCTAGAAAATTCGCCTAATCAAATTCAATAGCGCGAGCGTGCTTCATATTCCTATTGAGCACGCTGATGACGTCAATAAACTATTCGTAATTCCTCGAGTTGTTGGGAGCTTAGCAATCCTGAGTCTCCCGAGTGCATCCATAACTCAGCAATAGACAATGAAGCGTTTACCATGTGTTTCATAAGGAAATTTAGGAGGAAAGGTTTGAATTTGTTAACCGATAGTAAGGAAAAGAGGTGAGTGTTGTTGTTGTTGTTGTCATCTCGGCGAGCTGTGCGGGCTATGGCGTGAGATCATTCTTTGCAAAGTTGTTTTCTCTCAATAACAATTTTTCGGTAAATTAAAAGTTTTCCGGCACCTAAATATGGATTTTGCAATCATTTTATAGTACACTTTCTCTCAGTTTCAGGATAAAAACATAAGATCAACTGTGAGGAAAAAAAATATAGTCACGTAATCATTGACGCGTACTGCTTTGAGCGCGCCCTACAATAATAAAATTTTCAGTTAACTGCTGCATTGATCGCTTTGATAATGTTATAAAACAATTAGTTCATGCTGCAGCTGTGCGTATGTCGAGATATTGAGCACTTGGGAAGTTTGGAGAGCACTCAAAAGGCTAGAGTTGCACTCGGCTGCGCCTCGTGCAACTCTTACGCCTCTTTCGTGCTCTCCAAACTTCCCGCGTGCTCAATATCTCGACATACGCACGCTGTCGCATGAACTAATTGTTAATTATTTTATGTGTAAAGGTGCTTGTTACCAGCTATGGTTATTTGCGATTTTTGCGAAATTTGAGGATTTCTCGAGAGCCTTCTTGGCCCGTTTTTTCTCTAAGTGTAGAATTTTGTCAAATTTGTTATTCGATTCTTGCTATTTTTGAGATATTTTTTTACTCGGTGCTTTTAGGTAGCAAGAAAAATCCTTGGCACTTTTGCGATTATTGCGGGATTTTCGGGCCCCCTTTTTGCCCTTTTCTCCATCTCAGTCTAGAATTTTATTAAATTGGTTATTCTTGCTACTCTTGTGATATTTACAAGTGATTGCCTCACAAAATTTCCTGGTGAATCATTTCTTTGGCGAAAATTGCAAAAAGAATTTGTTAGCCGATTCTTGTTCACAAGATCGTTCCTGCATGGACATATCTCAACTCTAATGAAACTTCACTTATTCTACTGGAATTAAACTGTCTTACCTTCTTTAAAAAGGACGCTGGCAGTTTGCAAAAACGGCAAAATGAAGACTGGTCGACGTTATGAGCGACTTGAGCCAGAAAGGGGCTAATGTATTCTGATTTTTTTGCGTTTCTTAGTCGATCACAAAGCACTTGCCACTGTTTAACATACTACCTCCTAGAATGATTGGCATACAGCTGTAGTATTGGTATATAAAAAATAGACAGTACTTCATTTTATGATATCAATTTTTAGTTATAGTTATTATTATTATTATTATTATTATTATTATTATTATTATTATTATCATTATTATTATTTTGTTTAGGTGTAAAGGTGCATGTTACTAGTAAAGGTTAGCAACGGTGTATGTTAGTGACACGATGCCAGTTATGTTAAAATTTAACAACAAAATGGAGACCGTGCCGTTGTTATGAAAAAGTGGAACGAGACACGGGCCAATGTAGTCTGACTTGTTTGTCTTAACTGAGCAACATTTGCGGCTCGCTTTTTAATATACTGGCTAAAAATAATTACTTATTGCACTTTCAAATGTTTATTAATATGCATTTTTAGTTATAATTTTTATTGTAATTATTTGTTGCGAAAGGAAGCTAAGAGATGCATATCTACGAAGAAAACAAGGGATAATTGGTGATGTAAAAACTCTGTAATATCTTATACGCGGCCATGCATTCAACACTAAGGCCCCCTCCCGCCAAACCTTACTGTTTTTATAAATGCTTTTGTGGTAAATAACAGCAATCCCTCCATTAGCCTGCATGTAAGCTCTTCGGGGCGCTCTGGTGGCCGTGCGGGAAAAGAAAGTAGACCTTACAACTACGTCTTTCAAGTGGCATTTAAATTCCGCCTCTAATTTCACTGTGGCTCTCTGTCGACTGAGCTGTCAGATTTCCGCCTATCATCGTGAAGCGGAAACGAGCGCGAATGTAAACAAACTGACGCGGTCAACTACTAGAATAATCACTAGCTAAAATATTCGAGAGAGGCAGTCGATGGAGAAGGCCCAGTACAAGCATTTTTTTTCTTATTTGTTGTGGGCTGGCTCTTACAGTTTTTAAACTGGTTTAATCATTAAAAAGCAAGAATGAAAAAATAAATAAATACAAATAGTTTCTTATGTAACTTCTTAATGTGTTTTCTTCTTGCTTACGAAGATTCCGGATTTGAGCGGTAAAATGTTGTTTCACACCTGCGTAACAGCCGGTTAACGATATATTGTAACGTTCACTTAACCACATTTAATGTTAGAGACAACTAAAAACCTTGCTTTAAAAGGTTGACGTGCTCTTTTTCTTTATTCCTCATGAAATGAATTGGCTTACAATTCCTCTTTTACAGAAATAAATTAAACTTCACTGTAATTATAGCGCGAAACAGCGACAATTCTTATGCTGTATTTCAATTGATCATGAGGAGATGTGGTATAGTCATTTAAATATCTGTTTACTGCATGGTACTTACTGCCTTGAATTATTCCAATTTGATTGGTTTCTCTCTAATTACAGCTTAAAAATTTTCCATAAGTTAAAGTTTATGACTTTTTTTTATTCTTCCAATTTTCCTACACCAAGGAAAATTACAACTGAACAGGTGAACCGGAAATTTATCATTTATCAGTTAATTATTAGAACGTGATGGATTAGATGAATAAATAGGAAGTGCTTTATGTGGAGAAGTAAAAACACATCACGACAATAAATACAGACGAAGTCAGGATGTTCAGTGAAAACTCTTACAGAAAAATAGAGGCCAATTGCAAAATAACATTTTTTTTTTGTAGTGGAATAATAGACCTCTTATTCGATGGTTTAACATATAATACGTGCGGATATTTTGCAAGTTGCGTGGTAAAATACGAGCAATGAGCAAAATGTCCGCTCGTATGATTATGCTAAACCATGGAATAAGAGGTTTATTATTCCACTACAAAAAAACTTGTTATTTTGCCATTGGCCTCTATTTTTTGGTAAGAGTTTTCACTGAACATCCTGACTCCGTCTGTGAGAATGACGTGAACAACGAGAAAATGTTCGCGCCCGTATGCCAAACCATTGAATAAGAGGTTAATTATTTTACTGCGAAAGAAAAATGTTATTTTGGCTTCTATTTTCAAGTAAGAGTATCCAAAATATCCTCGGCTGATTCTGTTAGCCATAGTTGCTCCTTTTGCACCCGCCGGTATTCCCCCTGTTGCAAACCTGTTAAACCAGGACACTACAGTGTATTTAAGGGTCTCGTATGTCATATTTTTATCTGTTTTTTTTTTTATTTCTTTGTTTGTTTTTAATGAAAAATTATTTAAAGGAAATGGTTTTTGAGGGGGAGGAACGTGAGGACGACGACGATGATGATGATGACAATGTTAATGATACGAACAGTCTTGCGGCTACCAAAGAATTTGATAACTGAATAATTAATTGGCCCGTAGACACTGCTTCGCCGAGTTTTTCTTGTCCAAGCATTGTACGTGAATCGACTGTGATATAATCCGTGGCGTTAAATTTTGGTTTCACATGACGTCATCAAAATTAAAACTAGAGAATTGTCGATCCTTCCGATTTTTCACTTTCATAAAGTATGTAAGAGCAGCTAAAAACTAATATTGAGACAAATTTTCACTTCGAAGTGGTTTTCGTTTTGCGATAGTCAGTACGCTTAATTTCTACTCTTTTGCGTGACGTGCCATTTACATGGCAGCTTAGAGCGACTGTCATGTTGGTTAAAAAAAGTGTGGTATTTGAGGGGTATCTATTGTAGTTTTGCCGTAAGAGAAAACTTCAATAATATTGCTACAATTAAGTACTCACACGGGACGAAAAATTGGATTTACTGCACTTTTGACACGCGTCAAAAGTTACGTCAAATATAGTATTGGCTTTGACTTTACCTTTGACGCGCGTCGAAGATGTCGCCAAATATATAACCTCTTTGCTTACTCCTGTGACCTCGGTAAAGGTGAAGTCAAATTGCTAACAACTTTGACTTCTCCTTTGCCGCGCGTCAAAGATGAAGTCCTGAAATGAGTCAATGCTTTGCTATTCCTTTAGCCCTTATCAAAGGCGTTGTCAAATGTGCTGGTAATTTTGACTTTACCCTTTGACGCACTTCAAAGATGAAGTCAAAAGTGTAGTGGCTGTGACCACACCTTTGATATCAGTCAAAAAATGAAGTCAAATACGACCGCTACACTTTTAGAACACTTTTGAATGGTTTCAAAGGTGAGAGCAAATATGCAATTAATTACTCTACAAACACTTATGTCGAAAGTGATATTAAGAAAGGAAATTAAAAAGCTGTATTTGAATACTGTTTTAAAGATATTTATACGACAATACCGAACACAGGCTGGTAATCATGGTAATTGCTGTTTTATAGCTATTTTTGAAAACGTTTTGAAATATTCACTTTTCGAAGTTTTTTTTTTGTCTTATCTTGAGTGGATCATTTTCCCCTTGATCGATCAATATACGATGTAATGATAGCGACGCAAAACAATGACTCAACAATTGGACGATGGAAGACTGAAGCCAAGCAAGACAACTTGTTTTTGGCGCGAAATTGTCGCGGCTGCAAACTCTCTCCACCCGCGGGAAACCCAGAGAGAATGATCTAGCTCATTCTTTCTTGCTGGAAACCCAAAATGCACGATGACGTCATGTTGAATGGCGTCTTTAGGATTTGTTTATGGCTTGTTGCTAGGCAACTGCGGATACCAAACGATAGAAAGATTTATGACCAAACCGAAATCGCAGTTTAGTGCGATCCTCGCGTGATACGCGCGCTGCGCGAGAATGAAATAATACAAGACTTGTAGTCTTTTTTTCATGGACAGTGTACGTCAATAACAATGTCTGTACCGGACTTTGATGGGCATATTACTGAAGCAAGTACATAAGCTTGTTTAAATAGGATTCAGTGCAGTTTATCAAACAAAAAAGTGTGGTTATTTGAAGACTACGGATGTTTTACGAACGTGAGTATCTCTTTCTATTGATTTTTCAGGGTTGTATACGTAATGGGGCTCAGGCTGCATATTTTTTTTAAATATTCCATTGATTTTTGTGCCACCACAGTGGCAGTTGGTTATGTTTCAACATTTAATAACAATTATTCAAACATATCGAGCTGTCCCTTCTTTATTGTGACTGGATAATAACTTTGGAGGTTAAAAAGGTATAAAAATAGCGCGCGTAGCAAGCTTTTCCGCGCGAGTTTTGTGCGAGAGACTAAGTTTGTAGAGGGCAAAAAAGAGGAAGGAGGGGCCGGGAGGGACTAACTCGCGCAATAACTCGATTGGAAACGCTTGTTATGCAAGCTAGGTATAATATAAAGTGTTTCTTTAGTTTCATTTTAAGCTTTGGGCATAAAGCGAAATTTTGATTTAATTTTCCTGGACTTTATTAAGTAATAATAAGGCTCGATTCAAACGTCAAATTTCTCACGTGACGAACTTAATGACAATACACGAAATGTAATGTTCCCAAATTCAAAAGCATTAGGTTCGCTACACATTTTTATCTTGATAGTAATAAGTGTAAATGAAATGCCCAATTGCTTAGAAAAGGCAACTATTAGAACATTTGCTGATGGCACCACTCTATTGTACTCTTCCAACCCTCTAACAATATTAGGACTCATGGCAAACTGATGATCATACTTAACCTACTTCTGAAATGATACAATTACACAACATATCGCATAAATTTAAAATTCAGTTCAGTACATAGAGTCAGATAAAGGGTACAAATTTGTACCGAATAATAAGCCAACATTAAAGACTAACAAAAATGTGGTTACAGACGCCGTACAAGCATCATTATGTCTAATAAATTGACCTATTAATTGTACAGGGTGCTAGATTGTTTTCTCATTGTATTTCATGTATTTGCATAAGCAGTTATCCATTACATCAACTTAAAGCATTTACTCTATATATAATGTCTAATCAGACAGGATCAGGATTGCAAATAAATTACTGGATGAATTCTTGGAAATACATGTTTTTAAATTGATTTTACCCGTGAATTATAGTAACCCACACATTTTTAAAAACCTATCAAACCCCTTTCCTTTGAGGAAACCATATCTAGGTTATTAAGCAGGGAAAAAGAGGATAATAAGAACTCGTATCAGAGCATGTTTGGTCAGTAGTGCCAGGTTGTTACTATTACGTGCTCCACAGAAGCCTCCGAACACTATTTTGGGCTCGACCCATTCTCCTCACGTTATGGCGGCTCCGCCGTCAAACTTTTTCCCCAACTCGAAAAAGTGAGCCTGCTCGCAGGCTAGCTCCACAGAAATGACAAGAGCCCATAAAGAGAGCGTGTTGTAGGGAGGACACAGTAACTAACAAGCTCACGCAATCTGATTGAACAGACACGACAACTGAAGCGTTAAAAATAGCGAATGAACGTTGACCAAAGAACCGGGTTGGTGCGTGAAAGCCTGCGAATTTTGCGGCAACTGAACAAAAACAGAATTCCGGAAACGCACGAACTTTAACGATAACATACTGATACTGCCGGCATTGGGAGTTAAAATAAACAAAACTCTGTAAGAGCGTATACTTGGGCGTCTGATGTGTGAGTAGTAAAACACCGCTTTTTATTGTTAAAAGTTCGTTGATATACGTGTAGTGGAAAACGTCAGAGGTGGAGGTAAATTTCAGAGTCGCTTATCAATGTTGCAAGAGCTCAGTTGTATGGTTGCGACTTCTTTTATCAGTGAATTCCCATGGCGGTGGCTGTTTACTATTGCCTTGGAATTATTTGAAATCAAGGTTCAAGAGCATAAATCCTAACATCCAGTTTATCAAGTTTCTGAAAAACATGATTTTATATGTTCTTTATATGCTATATATTCACGGATCGACGTGCTGACCTCTTTTTCGGAAAGAAGACAGGGAGAGGCGATAATTGAAGGGGTGCGCTTACTATAAATTAATACTTGAAAAGGGTGACGTAACCCAAGCATTTAAAGTATACCTATGAGGCTAATACAGAAGACGTGGACGCTATTTATTGAAGGCAATTTGGCGTTCGGGCTTCTTGGTAACAGGGAAAAATCAACATTTATGTTTAGTTTTCACGTGAATCTCCTCCCCGCCCTCCTTTGCGAACAAATTTGTATCGAGAGAGACGTCTGGGTATGAGGCAGTCACCATAGCATTTAATAAGGACAGCTTCTTAGCTAACACATTTTTTTCCAGTGTTTAGCGCGTTTTCCCGATGATGTAAGCGGTGGTAAATTCAACAATGGCAAAGAATATTTGTTCGGTTCAATTATCTTTATCTGCCGGTGAAACTCAGGTCTACATTCAGTTACATGCTTAATAAAAAGCATACCCATTACATCGTGCACTATTACACAAACTATATCCATGGCCTATACTACTCTTACATTATGTAGTATTAATTACAAGGTGATCGAATACACGTACTTAAACATTAGTAGGAACTGTAATTGCTGACCTATTTTTCAGAATGAAGAGAGGGAGAGGCGACAATTAAAGAAGTGCGCTCACTTTTTTTGAAAAGAGTGTCCTAATGCAAGCATTTAAGTACCTTAATGAGGCTAAAACAGAAGACCAGGACGGTATTTATTGAAGGTAATTTGGGGTTCAGGCTTCTCGGGAAAATGTGTACTTTAACATTAAGCAGGAATTATACCGTTAAATACAGGTTGTAAAATCCATTAAAAGAGCTAGTTATTTCTTCTTTGCAACAAAGTTCGAATGAATTTAGCTCCAACGAATCTTGTTATGTTAAATTTTCGAGGACGGAAAAGATGCTTGACTCTTTCACAAGAATCGGTGTTAACATCTGGAACTTAATTCCAACCTCAATAAAACTATTTAGCCGAACCAAATGTCGGAAAGTGATCAAGTCGAGTTTACTTGAGGACTTCCTGCAGTCTGAAGATGACTATGTTAAAGACCCTACCCCTTTTTATTGAGCATTTCTCTTACCTATCATCGATCGTTACCTTCATAGTTATTTAGCTCTATTACCGTAATATGTTTAAGAATTCTCTTTGTCCTGTTCATAGTGTTTTCTTTTTATAGTGTTCTCTTATTTATAGTTTATTTAATTATTTGTTAAATTATCGTGAGTTTTCCTTCCTTTCTTTAATTTTTCGTTTGTTCAGGCAAACCAGACTTAGAGGGGTGGAGATAATTTAAAAATAGGTACGATGCTGATGGCCAATTACTTGATTTAAATTAGAATCGTTTGGAATTAATTGTAAAATATTGTAACTGACATATGAATGCTTGCTTTTGAGCCGAACAAGAACTAGTCTAGGTGCATGCAAACATATACTGAGACGGTGAGGACCATGATGAGCGAACACGATAACGATAAAGAGCAGAAGAAGAGCTATGATGAGGTTTAAAAGAACACAAAAGTCATTATGGCTCGGAGTCATGCCAGAACAAGCGTCAATCGAGTGAGCTAATTCACTTCCAGATTCCACTCTTTTCCAAGACGCCTGCGAACGCAAAATCGTTCGAGATGCGTAAGCATTTGAATATATTTTAAAAGCGTAATTGATAAAACCAGCTTTTAACTCTCCCACCGATGCATTAGGACTGTATCTTTAGAAATAAAAATCTTTATTAATTCAACAACAGTCGCAGCGTATAAATTTATATCAGCTAATATAGCAACTGTCGCACATAAAAGGCTATTTCCGCATTCTTTTATAGGGCTTATCCTTGACATCAGACATTTTTTGCGCGCTTAGCATGTATATACTATATCAAAAACATTAACTTTACCTCATTCACAATGAGCGTATAACAAATTTCTTTTTCCCTCGAACAGAGAGAAATTGTTAATTACACGATGTATCGTCATGTCGTCGAATGGTCTAAATCATCACAGTTACAACTCGAATTAATGAGTACTATATTGATCACTAAAGTATATTTAGGTATTCTTGTCACTAAAATCAGTAATGAATTTAAGATGACTAAATCTAAGAATACAGTGGATATAATCGAGAAGCATGAAACATGACGTGTATGGGTAACAGTTTTGTACCGTTTTCGAAGTTTTGGATGCGAGTTCGCGAGTTTACGAAAGCGTGCGAACGGAAGTTATTTATGCAGCTGTACGTAATTCGTTCGGGATGCATAAATACAGATGCAAGATTTAAAATATCTATTAAGACAAGGCACATTGCCAGGAAAGTTGTGAGGTTACCCCTGTGTTAAAAATCCCCAAAGTTTATTATGAATGCAATGCAAGTAAACGTTGACTACAGCACTCTAGACATAACAAGAGTATGCGCAATTTTTCACAGCTACGGAATTTTGCAACAACATTATATAAAAGTTAATGTAAAAACATAAGTGTTTAAGAGAACATACAGCATCTAACAAGTGTCCGTATACATATTTGGTAAAACGTAGCGATAGCTCAAGAGGCCCTATTCATATCAGATTTATGGATGACACGAACTCACAACACTCGAAGTTTTGCGGGAGCGCGCAAACATTGATGCGAGACGAACAAAAATTGTTATTTTCTCTAAGAGCGATTAGTCACTTACGGATGTTCAAGATATACAATGAACAGGAGAGTAATGATTCAATTCGACACTCGACACTGATGTACATTGCATTTCAAAAGGGCACAAGGAGTGTCGCTAAAGATAATTTGTGTTAATAAAGGAATACGACAGTTAAGGCCGAACTATAGACACCAAGTAACTGTAGGTTCACGAAAGCAACGCAAATTAACGACAACCATAAAGCCGTGAAGTGTGGGAATTTTTGAGACACGCGAAGCTGATGAAAGGCGGTGTAAGACGCTAAAATAAGTTTAAAATAATAAATGAATAATTAAAGCTAAAAAAACCCAGAAGGTTAAGAAATTAAGATAAACTATATTCAGTATGTGCAAATAAGAAATTCGGGAGAACTATAGGCGAGGGTATACACAATATGTACAAATCAGTATGCATGATCATATTAAATTAATAACTTCAAAGAGAGCAGTTTGAGCAATTATTGTCTCTTAATAGCATACTAAGATGCACTTTTCTAACGTTATATTTGAAAGAGGACAACGCGGAAGCTTCTTTCGCGTTTCTACGAACAAATCTCTATACTTTTGGGCCCATCTCATAAACCTGAGCGAGTGCTTTTCAAAGGAGACCGTGTTAAATCTGGGTATAGTGAAGTCAAGTTTGCGCAATTTATACTTAATTGCAGGCTGTTCAAACAGAGTGCCATGTACGCCGGGCACATGTTTATTTTAACTTTATACATGAGCATAGCTATGTCCTGTAATCGCAAGTAGGAAGAGTATTACATCGCTGTAAAAGAACGAACTCGAGTTAACACAAGCAAATGGTCTTCTTGCCGTAGAAGCATTAGGGTCTGGATTAGAATTTACGAAATTGGTAGAAACAAATGAAGTTTACGAATAAACCGAATGTTTATTGCAATGTGTGCAATTTGACGGAGACAAAGGTAATGCTAAGTAAACAAGAGCATAAACGCAAACCGAAGTACGTCGACCATAGTTGTCGCAAGTTATCAATAGTAACCCGAAGGGCGGACAGCGTGCAATTTGGCAAAAGCATAATAATAGGGTTTACGATAGCGCGCGTTCGTAGTAATGGTACGTAACTGAACACAAAGATTAATGCAAGCCGAAGTAGTCAGCCATGCATGGTCGCAGGTAACTGACAGTATCCCAAAAGATGGCGCGAGAGTTTCATTACAGTGTACGCAATTTGGCAAAGTCAAAAATACGTCTACCATAGAACACGTTCGTGAAGTAAACACGAAGATAAATGCAAGCTCAAGTAGTCGACAGTGGTCGTAAGTTACCGACAATATCACAAAGGATGGCGATAGTATTCATTACCAGCTGATTACAGTGCACGCAATTCGGCAAAAGCATCTAGTAAGCGACTACGATATATTGAGCGCTCTCCGTGATAATAAGTGAAAACGGAGATAAACGTTGAGAACGCAAGACGAAGTAGTTGACGATAGTGGTCGAAAGATACCGAAAGTACCACCGAATGATGGCAAGATTGTTGAGTACAGTTTACGCCATTTGGCAAATACAAATAAGCGTTTCCGATAGCGTGTGATCGCAGTAATGTATAAATTATAATCAGGAACATTTGACGGAAGCTAAAGAAGCCAAGAATATAGTAGTCGAATGTGACCAATAGTGCCCCGAAGGTAAGTGAGAGTTCAATAAAAGTATTGAAACGCGCCTATCCTTAGAAAAAGGTAACTTAGAAACAGAATAAAAAGGCCATTGTTGCTTGGTAGCAGTCATTTTAGCAAGAAGAAAACTTCCTCCTTTACAAATGACTGCTACTCAAGCATAATTCTACAAAGTGTTTATTCACGTTTTACGCTTTGAAAACATTATTAGATTAAGTTATTTAAATATTTCTTCTTTAACGAGACATCTTCGTGATGATAGACTTGACTGTAATTGTGTTGTAAGTCGCAGGCACATTTCATTTAGGGGAATCCGACAGCCGGTGAGATAGTGACCATGAAGTCCATTTAAGAAACATGTCCTAAACGTAACAGAAGAAAGTGCAACGTTAATTATAAGTCAGACCGTAGATTAGCTATGGCAATGGTTAGTTCTAATGAAACTACGATAAATGAATGCCTCGGAATACCCCTGCTCGAAAACGCTTGTAACAAAAGCTACTAATTATTTGTTACTGACGAAATCACATACCTTACAGAGTTGATATTCTCGCATCAATGACATGTTTTTTGTCAGATGACGAACAAGTGCAGTTGGGAACGAACCTAAACTCAGCAAAGATAACGATCAAAGCAACCATTCGTTAACAAAATAAAGCATCTGAAATAAATACAGGTGCTCGAGCAACACCCATCACAAGTTTTGGGGTTTACCCGTACTTAGTGTGATAAGAAACTTTTTATTCCTGTCTCCTGTTTTGCAACAGGGATAAATGAGTTCATTACTGTTGTTTGCTTATTAAGTGCTCTATTTCCCGTTTTGAGATTTTCTTGTCACAAGATAGTCTCAGGTTTAATTTCTCCAGGTTGTTAATTTTATCATTGTTAATTTACACTTCTCTAATTGTTTCGGCTGATTCCTGGTTCGTAAGAATACGCCGTTCACGGATGCTTTTTTTAACGGAAGTGAAAGTGAAAATGGGGTTTCCCCGAATACGCAGTGAAGCAAATCACTCGTTGTGTGAACTTGTTTACGCCAGTGAAATTAGCAAAAAGACTGCCGAAAGCTTTTTTTTTTTACCTTTGAACCATAAATTTGCCAATTAAACACAAGTTTTTAAGGTTGATTCTACAAAATATGGCTTTCAAATGCGAGAATCTGTTTTTGATGAGACGAAAATTTTCAAAAGAGCTTCGAATAGCCATATCGTGCCGTCAACAATAATTATAATTTAGACACAAGCTTACTTACGAAAACAAATTTACATGACAACATGAAATTTAATGCGGCATTCGTTTTCTTTAAAAGTTTTAGTGCAAAGCATGAAAAAAAAAAAAAAGAAAGGCAAAGAAAAAGAAATGATGACAGTGTCATAGAGCAAAACCCATTAAGCGGTAACTATATGGAATATATTTTAAAAGGTTCGCATCCAAAAATGACCGGTCAAAATGACCGGCAAGATGAGAGTTTGACCGGTCAAGTCCACGATCAGGCCGGACATTGTCCGTTGACCGGCCGTTGTTTTGAGCCCTGTACATCGAAGTCTTCGATTTCAATATTCCGCCAGAATATAATTATCCTAAAGGATTCCGTGGACGATTTGCAGCAAAGACCACAGTCATATCTGAAAAAAACAAAAAAAGATGGAAACTACATGTATTAAAAAGCAATAAATAGCACCCGACATGTTCCCATATTAAGCACAATTCTGGGAATACCTTGGGTAAAGGCTTCTACATCATTCACAATATTGGGAATAACTTGGGGAAGTGTGTCCATATTTTTCACAATTCTGGGAATAACTTGGGGAAGTGTACCCCATAATTCACCCTACTGGGAATGACTTGGGAAATGTTACCGTATTGTTCCCAGCTTTCGGAATAACTTGGGGAAACATTCACAACGTATTCCCAGTATTAGGATGTAAAAGGAAAGTAGACCTTCTTTCCCAGTAAAAACCCAGTCTCCCCAAAAAAGGAATTTCCGGTCCCAAATTTTTCCCATGAATGAGAAAATTCCCCATTTAATTCCCAGTTGGGAATCTCGGAAAGTTTCCTGTGAAGTGGGTTTGTGGGCACATGTACAATCATTCCTAAGCGATGCACAAGCTTGCTAACTCAAACCGGAAAATTCCTAAGCGAAAAATATTAGGAGCAAAATAATAAAATAATAATGTATTTCTTGATATAACGAAAAGTATTGAAATTATAGGTTCAGTGACCCTGTCACACTCTCCCCTCCTTTTGCTCGTTATAGCCCTTGCGAGCTAAACACTAAACACTACACTACCTAACGTTTCAGGACAGATATAGGCAATCGGTACCAATTACTATGATGTCCTGCAGTTGATCCGGTAGAACGTCTAACAGGCAGTTCATCGGCAGCTTCAGGCTCATCTGCAATGCTCTCGTCAGAATCACTATCAGAAACGTCAGCTGCATCATCAGGCCCGACATCAGAATCTGATGTTTTTGTTAGACCCAGGACGCCGGGACCTTTACTCGGCTATTTTATCAGGCGGTGCTTATAGATATTTATAATTTTATTCCCCGTTGTTAAAACAGAAACCGAATAACAAGAATTATTTTCCACATTACAGTTTGTACGCGTTGTTTTGCGCCGTATTTTGCCGTTGTACTTGCTGCTGATTGAGAGTGCGTGATAGAATGATCTGTTATGAAACAATAACACAAATACATTACGCACAAGAAAGGTAAAGATCAGTCATCGGCGCGCCCTTTTATCGTCACCGATGTATCAAATAACTGTAAGTCGTGTGAAGTACATGTGAGAATTTGTTTTTTATTGCAAAACAGCTGAGTCCTCCCCCAAAAAAGTGTATTTGCGCCCATGCGTTTTTCCGGTGTTACGAATGAAAACCTCTATAAATTTAGCTCATTCTGTCCATGCCGTTGATTCTATAAAATATGGCTTTCAAATGCGAGAATCTGTTTTTAACGAGATGAAAAATTTCAAAAGAGCTTCGAATAGCCATACTGTTGTGTTCAAACTCCCCTAGACGGATTCCTTGGGCTTTGGACTTATTCCTGTTATCCAAACGTTTTTGAATTTCCGGACGTGAGATTTCGGCCTTGATTGTATCTTTCAGACGGCTTAATACAGTACCCCTGTTTAACGATGTTAAGGGGAATGGAAGGTGGGAGTAATGGGGGGGGGGTTAAGCATAAGCTCTGTACATATGGTGAGGAAATGACAGGATCTCGGTAGGCTGGCACTCCGTCATACGCAAAGATCACACTTTGGGGGAGGGGGGGGGGACTCCCTTATATAAGCTACATAGGTGCCGCCCCATCGGGTAGGGTTTTTGCGTCGTTTTGGTCTGAAAACGAATATACACTTTACCCATTTTGGTCTGGAATCGGGTATGGTTTTTGAGGGAACTACGGAAGTGTATGAACGTAGTTTTCGTTTCAATTCCAAATGAGTAAGAAAGAAAGAGAAGTATGCGAATTCGAAATGCCGTCACTTTTTCTTGCTGACATATGAAACTTTTGAAGGCATTTTTTTAGCTCTTGCGGGGAAATTTCTTCAAAAGGGGTTGTGAATTGTTTTTGTATTTAACATCATTCTGTGAAAAAGAGTATTAAATTTAGTTTTGAGCTTATTAATGAATAAGTCAACTAAATAAAGTGCAAAGACTTACGCTCAATTTGCATTTGTAAACAAAAAACTTTTTCACTGGTTTCATCGCTAAATTCAAAGCTTTTCCTGTTAAAACTTGCAAACCAAAGTTCGTCACCTTTTTCATGTATTTCGGGAACAGCTTGCTTGATTATTTGTGAAATTTCTTTGTTTGTTACGGCAGGAAACCAGAAAGGCATTTCGCTCGCAACTTACGCGAGTTTGGCGTCGCTCGCTCGGAGGAACTGGTGGTGAATCAGTGAAAAGTGCAGGATATTCACTGATTGAGTAGCCAATCAGAGCGCGAGAAAAACGCTATCCATTGTTTTAGTACATACTAAAATACGAGACTGTGCAAATCGTAATAACTTTGTCTTATCTCAGAGCTTTACATGATGCTCTCCGGAAAACTTTTCTCAAGGTCACCAATATTTAAAAGTAAACTGGAAAACGGCACCGAAACCAACTTCAGGCGAGCACTGATTTGAAATAACTGTCACTTGTGTTAAAGAGAGAATTGTGGGTAGGGACAAAAATAAAATAGGGAGGGAGGGGGGTGGGTAAGATAGTAATTCTGTCTACATCCACTTCCACACGAATCCCTAACCACAAAATAGGCATAGACAAAAGACATATGCAAACAACGCTAAACAAGCTATTAGACAGGGGAAGTTGAGAAAAATTACAAAATGTTTGCTTACCCGGTTTTCATAACTCCAGGTAGATATACAATGTCCTCTTCGAACGCGCTGCCAAGTGCACCACTTGAGAGAATCTATCCGGAGTAGCCACCTGACAACTTTCGGTTGTCTCGAATAGGCGACGTTAAAAAACAAATTTCTGAAGAAATTGAGAACTACAGAAAAGTCGCCAAAAAATACAAGAAAGCTCAAACCGCCATCGTTACACCGCTGTCGGTTTGGGCTCTCTCTCGGCCGCTCTCTCAACCACTGGCGACACCTTTAGCTTTATACTGGCCCTGGAATTATCGTCGGTGCACCTCTTGGGGCTGTTGTAGCATTTTGCGGTGCCGGAGTCAGTACGCTTGAATTTCTACTCTTTTACGTGACGTGTGGCATTTACATGGTGTGCGAGAGCGGCTGTCTTGTTGGTTTTAAAAAGTATAGTATTTGAGGGGTATATTTCCTGAATGGTTTTCCTGCTTCCGCAATAACTATCCTGCAAAGTATTAACGTAGCCTCACTTATCTTCCTACATCGCATTCCACCAAAGTAGAGTTCCCAATTGAACACACTTTAAGCATTTCTTCATCACGTCTTATTTCATTTTATTTTATTTTATTTTATTTTTTTTTTTTTTTTTTGGGGGGGGGGGGGGCTTCCTTAACATATAGCCTAATGTAGCTTTAAATATGCTTCTATGTATGTTTTTACATGTTTTTTTTTCTTATATAGCTATTTACCAGGTTGACTAATTACATTTTGCGATATCCCTCCATTAGTAACGATTCAGCGGGATAGCAACATTTTCTCTTTGATGACGTCTGAACAATGAGAGCAGAGCTTTTTTAAAGTCTGGCATCCTGACTGTGTATAAAATGGGATTTACAAGGGAGTTTGCATAATGCAAAAAATTCAATAAACAAAGCAAACGAAACAATTCTCGGGTAGAAAGGGAATTAAAAATATCCGCATCTGACAACCCAACAAAAACGAATATAGTAAATGGTAGCCACAGCAGTAAAGATAATAAAGTTGTTATAAACAATGTGACAGTCAGTTTTCTTTGTCTTAAAGCAGCTGCACAATGGCGCTGAGGATGAGCTCCAAAACGAAACTTAAACAGAATGGACGTGTAAGAAACAAAGGTAGCCATTAAACATAAACAACAGTGTGATTCCAACAAGTAAAGGTGGTGTGTCATCAGAAACCTTTCTATCCCTATAATGACTGATGTAATGATAGGAACAACCCAGATAACAGCAATTGCTACCACGTAGACCCCAGCCTCGTACCCAGGCCTGTTCGCGCTATCCGAGTGACCAGAGGAGGCTTGGAACCGAGCGCGATAGCGCGAGGCCTGGCAAAAAATGGGAAAAAAGTCCCAGATCGACGAGAAAAAGTCCCAGATAATTTCTCGACGAAAATCCTTTGTTTTCTGCGACGATCACGGAATATTTCGAACTCATGAGATTAATACATCTCTTCCGAGCATCTTTGGACCGTTTCAACTGATAGCAACGAAATGTGGCGGGCATGTTTTCCCAAAAACACTGGTAAGTTAAGCATATTGTTTACAGTCTTGTTCGCTACACGAAGCTAGGAAAAAGTTTCTTCGTAGTTGGGCAAGGGACTATCCCTGTACATTGTATGTACACTACTATCAAAGGCTTCATTTTCATTGAAAAAAATGGGCGTTGATTTCCTAGTTACAGGGCCTTAGTGGACTTATTTTGCCTTTGTTGTTCGAATCGTTGGTGGGAAAAAATCACGAGGATCATTTACACGGTTTCGCGCGAAAAGCCAAAAAAAAAAAAACACTACATGCCATTTTCAGCTGTTTGAATATGCTTTTTGCTCTTTGTAATAACCTAATACCTTGAACTTGTACCTTGCAGCTCCCAGTTCATGCAGAACATTCTAATAGTCTATTTTGAAAATAGTACCAGTAACTCATGTAATATTCGGGTGTCTTTAGTTTTACCTGATTTTTAATGATATGACTATCATTCAGTCCTTTATATGATTGCGACTTAGAGCGATTTTACTTGACCCATGAAACATTTCATAACAACTAGTGCAAAATATAGCTACAAATAAACTAAAGAAGACAATAGAATTAGTGCATAATAGTGCTTAGTATTCTACTTCCTGTTTCATGCGTTAGGTAAAATCACTCTGAAGGAGGTTGCAATTTTGGAGATGGGAAAATTTTGGATAATTGACACTTAATCTTAATTTACCTGCCTGACAGGCATAATTTCTGAGCAAGGTATTGTACATCAAATGTTTATTTTTTTATTATATATTGTCTATTTTTTTACCTTCCTTTACATTAATTTTCAGAAAGTTTTAAAGGGGATGAAAGGAGAGCATGTAATAGACGACACTGGGGATGGAAAGGATACAGGAGCAAAAGGAAAATGTAATTCAGCTGAAGAAAACTTGAAATGAAAATAAAAATATGAAACCGTGATGTTTAATATTGAATTTCTTAGATTTCATCAAACAAAACTTTATTGATTTTACAAGGAAATTAGATTGATTTCCTAACAAACCATAGTTCTGAACACTTGTGAAAAGAGAAATTTTTTAAACCTGATAACAACTACTTCTTGTCTTGTAAAGCTTGTTGTGGGAATGGGTTGGGGAAACAACTTCAAGACCAACTTAAGACCTTTTTCCACTTAATTTGATGCCATAATGGTACCATTGGCTGGGCCAGCTACATGCCATTTTCAGCTGTTTGAATATGCTTTTTGCTCTTTATAATACCCTAGTGCCTTGAACTTGTATCTTGCAGCTCCCAGTTTATGCAGAACATTCTCTAATATTGTCAATTTTGAAAATAGCACCAAAAACTCGTGTAATATTCTTTTTAAACTTATGACTCACTGGAAGACCACTGCTGCGAAAGTGGTTCGAGATAAAAAAAGAAAACAGAAAAAAAAGGAAAGCACTTAATTTGAGTGTAAATGTATTCAGCACAAAAGTAATAATTGGGGACACTATTTTTACGTCTACTACCACCATTTTACGTAGTCATGCATCCGAGCCACGCAAAGGTCTAGCCATTTGCAGCAGAGCAAAGGTAATACCTTCATTTCTCAGTCATTTTAAGATCCTGAGTATTGGTCCGACCCCGGGAATTGAACTTCTGACCTCTCACTCTGCAGTCAAGCACTCTACCAACTGAGCTAATCCTACCACGGTTGAGATTAAGTTTACATAAGCTAGTAGTACAGTGGAACATAGATATGGGGTCGTGCAATATCAAGAACAATAGAATCAGACATTGATAGAATCAGAAAGAAAGCTTGGATGAAGGTTTTCAACAGTTCCCAAAGGATCATCTCATTTAAATGGTGGGTAGATACACTGGTTGAAGATAACTTGGATATAGAATTTAATTTTATTCATGCTAAATGCTATAAAAGCATGGACACAAAGTGATTTACATCTGATGCCGTTTCAGGATATTTGAACGCTCCTGATGTTACAGTATGTTGTAAACTGCCCCTATAGCTTGTATCTGCCACATTGAGGCGTATCCGAAAGGCTGACAGCACTTTATGACTTCTGTTTTGTATATTTAATGGACAAAAGCAGCGTCTATGAGTTGATCCACTATCGTTTAGGACGACACCTAGGCTAGAAGTCTCTCTTGAATTACAATGCACGCAGTGCTGCGATTCGATTAACAAGTTTTTCATCCGCTAGATAATATGCTGAGTACAGAGCTAATTCGATGACACATCTTTCACGAACTTCAAAATGGTTTAACTCATTCCCGACAGGCAATGGAACACACTCCTGAGATGGGACGATTTGTTGTGCTGAATTAAATCCATATTTTTTGATTCAATCAAAACTCGAAATTACTGACCTACGATAAATTGTTGTTGTTGTTGTTGATAACAACAGGTGAACACGCGGAACGATTCCTTCAAAGAAATTTCTCCAACATCTCTATGTATTTGATGGCAAACGTTGATTAAAGAATCCCAACCTATTTCAGACGCTTTTTTTCATTTCTTCAAGAATCTTGTCTGAAGTCGCATTCTTGGCCTGACGCCGCCATTTTGGATTTGCCATTATTTGCCAGGCGTCCTAGGCGAATTTTCCCGACAAGCTTGACAGGTGACGTCACATCCGAAATCGCCGAGGACGACTGGGAACGAGGCTGCGTAGACCCATCTCGGATCACTCACCGTTTCTGGGAATGGAGTCATCTTTCTACCGACGCTCAAAAATAAATAAATACACGCGAAGGCTCCTCAAGACTCGACGAGGACGTCTCGACTTCACTTTATGACCTTACGAGGATTACTCTATAACACAGGATGACTCGCCGAGGATGACTCGATGAGGCACCATTACTTGGCGAGAATTACTCCATGAGACACGTTGACTCGACGAGGACGACTCAACGAGGGTGACTCGACGAGGGTGACTCGACGAGGGGACGACTCGAGGAGGACGACTAGACGAGGATCACTCGACCAGGCAAGATGATTCGACGAGACTACTCTGAGTCATAACCAATCTATTATTAACGACATTTATGGCCAATCCATCGTTCTTATTATTATAGACACATTTCATTTCATTTCGTTTCATTTAGTATAATTATATTGTCAGCCTTCTTGCCTGCCAAATTTGTAACCTGAATGATAATGGTGTTGATGGTTTTCTCCATTTTATTTCAAGATCACGAGTTTAATGCAACTAACTGCAGGCATAAACATTCATGTGCTTTCTCTCCTTGCGTTCAAATTTATTTTCCATCTTCTAACGTTTACAAAAGACTATTTATAAAGAGAGAGAGAGAGAGTACTAACGGTTATGGGAGTCCCGAAAATCTTGATAATGAGTTATAGTCACTATTTAAAAGAGCTGTGTCGCCAAATTTACCGCCAAATTGAGTGAAACATAAAAAATTAACTGCTCAAAACATGAAAAAGTGGGTGTAAATAACAAAGCAACAACATATGGAGTAGAGGAACGGATGGAGGAAGTTGAAAAACATTTAGACAGAAAGCAGGAAGGTTTTTATCTATTGCTTCTGCACCAGAGAATATCTGTGAGATAAGGGTCTGACATTGTCCGCGGATTAGGATCACCCTTTTTTTCCCTATAACAATACACTTTATACAGGTGTTTATAAGAATATCAAGCTGAAGAATATGTTAAGACCCCCCAGCTGAGACTTTGAGAAAGATAAAATTTTGTGGTTTAAAACCTGTAAATACAATACAATTATATATTTTCAAGATGTGAAGTATATGAAATAATTCATATTTGAACTGCGGTGGTAGATGAAAGTGAAGAATGATCATCGCAGTGAATTTTCCAATTTAAGCAATTGGAAAGAAGAAACCTGAAAAAAAAAAAATCAGGGCTTCAACGGGATTCGAACCCGTGAACTTCACGGGACTGAACGTTGCAGCAAGAGCAGCAAGTGAGTGCAGAAAAGCCAAAACACGTGGTTTGCCAACATTTTTCTTGTTCAAGTGTTAAAGGGGTAGTAAGATTGCATGTAGAGGAGGGTTCTTTTCTAACCCCACCTGAGCGGGTTATTCCACCTAAGCGGGTTACCCCACCTACCTCGGGTCCCCCACCTCCATGTACTGTCAAAGTCAGAAAAAGGTGAACGCCTGGAAATTTTCGCGCGCGCCTTATTGGAAATTTTATCGCAACACATTAACATTCCATAAAAATTTCTGATTTGTGAGTGTCACAGTAATAGTGATATAATCATCAAAGCCCGGTACTTTGAGGTGAAAAAGAAAACAAGCTTTGCAACTCGATAAATAGTGTATAACACAATCTAGGAATCAGTAGTCATCCAAACGAGAAACAACGACGGTCAAAGCTGTTGGCTCGTTGTCAAAGTGGAAAAATAGAACTGTATCTTTGCGTAAACTAATGAGATTATTTAAGCGCACATTTTCTTCATTTGTCTATTCCATATTTTTAAAGTTAATCATAACTATAGCAAAATTCTCAAATCTGATTGGTAATCAACTGCTGTTTTAAAATGAAATATACGTCTAAGCCCGTAAGTGTTTAAGATTTCTTAGAGAGGCAAGCAAGACTATAAAATTATCAAAAAAAGTTTCTAATGCTAAAGAATATCCATGCACTTTTATCTATTATGCCTCGTGTTAAACTATCCAGTTATAATCATGGGAAAAAACTTGTTTCAAATCTAAGGTTAACACTATGCCTTTTAAAAACTCTTTTAATAATCGTTTAGTTTTTAAAAATGAATTAGCTATGTAATATACTAGATTTTTTAATTCTTACTTCAACATAAACGTTGTTCTCTCTTTTAAAAATGTATATCAGCGCGAATTCATACATTTGCGACTCATTGTACGCTTCGAACATACCAATACCCGCTACAACGTTTTCACTGCTTCATAAATCTGCAACACCCTCATTTATCGCCGTCAAGCCATCAAAACATTCGCAAACTCGATGAAAATGCATTCAGGGCCAGTTAGGGCATATTGATTAATTGTCGAACAGGACTCTTCTTATTCTGCTAGCTTCTGTTGTCAGAGATAGCTGTGAAAGGCCAGCCGGGTACTAAACACAAGCCACAACTGATTACCTAAGAGAAATGCATTGAAAAAGCCCGGGCTTAGCAATACAACCATCACCACTGGGTAATCAGGGCAAGATGGTGGGAAAGTGAGATTTGTATTAGAATTCAAATTCAAATTCAATTTATGTATTTCATGATTTCTCTTTGAAAAGAGTAAATTACGAGATCAAAGAAACAATACACTAAATGTGGAGTGCAAAGAAGTCCGTGATCAGTTTTTAGAAAACCTCAAATTTTCCATACATTTGCTGTAATTTTGATACTAACTTTAATTCAATTTGAATTTAAATTTAGCTGCTATCCGTATTATCGGGTTAATTGCCCCTAAAAGTAAGGTGTCCTTGCGGCGCAAGGTGATTGTATGAGAAAAACATTTTTAAGATTTTACAAGTAGCACGGGTAACGAAGAAGTCCGATTTCATAAACTGTGATGGTATGTCCAGAGATCTAACAAGATTTTAGTGTTTATTGCCATGAATAAGCGCTATATAGTAGTGTTTCATAGAACCAAACAAACTCAGACGACAACAATCAGTGAAAGATTCCGGCAATTCTACTTTTCTACAGAAAGGTCAACTCTGCTAGTTAAAGACAACAGAAAAACTAAGTTTGAGCATTCATTTTCCGTAGAACAAAAGGCAAAATTGTTACCTTTTTGTCTTTGCTTGTCGTTTAGGTTAAAAGTTAAGAAAAGGTACCTTTTTTGGAAAAAGAAGGTAGGCATTTTCCGCTTTTGAGTGAATGATATTTTGACGTCAATACTGTCCGCTCTTCATTCATTTCTCACTTTCCCAAACAATTTTATAAAGCGCGAAAAAGGTACCTTTTTTTTCGGTTTCAAGCGATCTCATGAAAGGCGCAAAAAGGTACCTTTTTTGCAGTTGGAAGTAACCTGAGATCAGGCCCAATTTGAGCGGTTCTCATACATTCTCTCTAACGGCTACCGCTGATTTTCGTTTAGCCTTGCCCGCCGGAATGTAATTTTCAAAGCGAAACGAAAATAGAGCCTGATCTCAGGTTAAGTTGGAAGTGATTTAGTTAAAAGTGCGAAAAAGGTACCTTTAAAGTCTTTAAAAATATAAAATAGTGTTTTCAGGCTTTGGGAAGCCATTTAAAACCCTACTGATCGACAGATGTCAACTGTTGGCACCTCTTGAGCTTCAATGAACGACGCACAGACTTTTTTGAGAGGATTCTAGGTGATCCTGTTAAAATTGAAATGGTCTACAAGGGGAATCAGCGGAGTAAAAAATTTTAGCTTGCTCCTTTTAGCCAAGACTAGAAGAAATCCCAAAATACTGGCCTCCAGCCAAATGGATGAAATGGCTCCTGAAAATGTAACAACTACTGGTACTTTAAAACTAGATGCAAGAAGAGGAGCTCAGCAAGCGCAATTTAAAGCGTGGAGCAAATACTTTAACCTGAAAGAAGTCCCACATGAAAAGTCCAACCATTTTAATTGGCAAAAAAATTCTACCTCGATCTACAGTAAAAAGCAGAGGTGTTTATTGTTCTTTTCCTTTAAGTCTAAACTGAGCTGGTTCCGAGCAGGTCTTTTTAATAACTGTCTCGTTTCGTGGATGATGTTTTCACTCCAGAAAGGTTATTAGAGCCCTGGTCCTGGGGTTATTCTTGTTTGCTATAATGTAAACTAAATAATTTAACTTCAGATGCATTTTGAGCTACAGGCCGAAGTAAAGCCATTAACAGTAAAAATACCACCATACATGTACCTCTGACACCCCCTAACTAAATACTAAAGTAAGCCTGAACAGCTGTCCTCTTTTCTAGAACTTTAGTTATTTTTTTTCAGAGAAAATGAAAACTAGAAATTTTCAAATAGAAAATAAACTCTCAAATTCGAAACCAAAAAAATTCAAATGCCACCGTTTAGACAATTGTCTTTTGGTGTATCAAAGCCATAAGCATATATTGTTCTTATAACACTTATACGTATTATAATCGCATCATCGTGCATTTTAGTGAATTTTTTTTTAAGGTAAAGCATTTTAAATGCACAAGAGCCTGGCCCGAATTCTCTTCAGGTTACTTATAACTGGCACCAACCAGTGACAATGCTTCCAACTTCACTCCGACTCTGATCAAGATGGCTCACACTTATGCTAAAATCAAGCACGGGGAATAGATTTTAAAACTGCAACCTGACACTCTTACAGTGTCAAGCTCAGCAAGTGTTTTCAAACTTGGCCAACAAACAGGGAATATTTATCTCTTGACTAGTGGATCAGTAAATTCTGACAAAAAAATTCATAAAATGGCACCAACGGTTGACATCTGTCAATCAGTAGGCTTTTAAATGGCTTGCTGTGGCTTAACACCATTTTATATTTTTAAAGACTTTAAAGGTACCTTTTTCGCGCTTTTGAGAACATCACTTCCAACTGCAAAAAGGTACCTTTTTTGCGCTTTTGAGAACATTGCTTCCAACTGCAAAAAAGGTACCTTTTTATGCCTTTCATGAGATTGCTTGAAAACAAAAAAAGATGCCTCTTTTGTGCTTTAAAAGATCGTTTGGGAAAGTGAGAAATGGATGAAGAGCGGACAATATTGACGTCAAAATATCATCCACTCGAAAGCTGAAAATACATGACTTCTTTTTCAAAAAAAGTACCTTTTCTTAACTTTTAACTTAAACGACAAGCAAAGACAAAAAAGGTAACAATTTTGCATTTTGTTCTACGAAAAATGAATGCAGAAACGTAGTTTTTCTGCTGTTTTTAACTAGCAAAGTTGACCTTTTTGTAAAAAAGTAGAATTGCGGAATCTTTCACTGATTGACAACACGGTGCCACAATTATTATCATTAGCACCATCATTAGTATTGTTACTATTATTATGGCACTAAAACTCAGGGACCTAGAGTGACCATTTAATTGGCAAGTACGCACGCGTTCCATATGGTCTCAAAAACTTCACACAAAACAAAGTTTTTGCTTTCCTTTAACCCATTTGCCCAGGAGCCGCCCGTAATCGCGGGTGCGGATCCACATCGCTTCTTCCACTTGTAATGTCATAAGGTTTTGTCCGCTAACTTGTGCAGAGTGAAGAGATCTTTTAAACCATACCAAAATGCGGTACAAATCAGTCAAGGGTGCAAGACAAATAAAAATAACCATGTTACATTGACCGGAAAATTTCCGTAAAAATCTTTTTCTTACCCACCTTAAACTAAGGCTTTCTCGCATTCTGATTGAGTATAACGTATTTTCTCGATCCCGGCGTTTGCAGTAAAAACCTGCGTATAAGAGCTTAAGTTTTTCCAAGAAAAACGTTTTCTGAGAAGGTTCTTATAATAATGTTGCTTTCTGGGAATGTTTTTCTATTTTTAAAGGTAAACAATGTGTTTGTCATTGGTGGGTGTGGCCTATATTTTCGGCCTATTGTTGGTCGCATGCATAATCAAGAGAGAATGAGCTTAGATCATTCCCTCTTGGCATAATATGTTACGGTAAATCCCTTATCACGTGCACGTATCTCTATAAGTAGAAGTACATGTTAATTGTCTAATTAAAAGGGATTTATCTTCACTCTCTTGCTTCAATTTACTGACTGGTAGAGCTTGTACTATCATTTGCACAAATTTGCTGCTCTTTGCAAATACCGTATATATTGTTCAAAGGCCCTTTTTGAAGGGTTTATGGAGGGGTTAATCTTCGGATTAGCTTATCTATGAGGGGAAATTTGCGTTTCAAAAATCGATTGGGCTAGCCTTAGAAATTGTCGTCCCGCTGGGACAGAGGCGCTGACCGGCAACAGAAAACTCAATCGCACAAAAAGGGTTATTAAACTATCTAGCATTCTGCTTCGCTTGCTTTACTAAAACGTTAATTAGCTAGGCGTTCAAGTTTACATTTCTATATTTGGATAGGAACCTGTCTGCACCAACACCTCTCGTAAGCGACCGTGATCACTTTTAGAGTTTTTTAACTCTGGTAAGCGATCACTTAACAGATAATAGAGGGGAAAATTGTATTTCTTATCTAAAGTAGCTCGAGCAATGATCTCTTGACTTCTTTTTTACCAAAAAAGGAAGTACATTAATTTTGTATCTATAGCTAGTGCAGTATAAGTTACCAGGCACGAACCTTGCTCCTCTTGAAACCACATGTACACTTGCCGTTAAGGTTCGTTCATTTTTGACTTCGGTTAATTTTGCTTTCGTTTCAGTTTAAAAGAAGCACCATCTTTGTAGACGTAGCACAATCGAAAAACATGATACCCATCATGTCTGAACTCTGCTACGCGACCATCTCCCGTAAGCGACCCACCGGGCTTGACATTTTGGGCGGGCGCTTACGGAATGTTCCGGACTGGGTTTTTTTTGAGAAAGTTGCCCGATTTTTGTTTTTTAAACAAAGTTGTCAAAAACCTAAAAAGTTGCTCGAAGTGGTAGAAGTTGTCAAAATTTGCGGAGCAATAGTGGCTCACCCGTGGCACGGGAGGGGAGGGGCTGGGGGGGTTTGGGGGGGTAACAACTTCACGTGTAAGAGCCGGCGTTTATTCCATGCCGGCGTTGAATCAAAACGTAATACGGAAACCAGGACCATTACCACTCCCTCATTAAGGCAAACGTAACTAACAAAAGACAAGCAGATTCCACATTGATCACATTTAATTAATGTAGGCTTATATTATTACAAGGAGACGGAAGAAAGGACACTCGGTAAGGCTCGGTATACTTACTAACAACTAAACGATATAACCCTTAGGTATTTGTGAGTATAATCATCGCCATTCCCCTTTTTTTCTTTCCTTCTTCTCTGTTTTCCGTTTGATTTTTTTATTCAACATGTGATCTTCGAGTATGGTATGTCCAGAGATATAACAAGATTTTAGTGTTTATTGCCATGAATAAGCGCTATAGTAGTGTTTCATGAAACCAAACAAACTCAGAGGACAACACGGTGCCACAATCATTATCAGCACCACCATCATTATTATTGTTACTATTATTATGGCACTAAACTCAGGGACCTAGAGTGACCATTTAATTGGCAGTAAGCACGCGGTCCATATGGTCTCAAAAACTTCACACAAAACAAAGTTTTTGCTTTCCTTTCACCCATTTTTCCGGGAGCCGCCCGTAATCGCCGGCGCCGGTCTACATCGCTTTTTCCACTTGTAATGTCATCAGGTTTTGTCCGCTAATTTGTGCAGAGTGAAGAGATCTTTTAAACCATACCAAAATGAGTACAAATCAGTCAAGGGTGCAAGACAAATAAAAATAACCATGTTACATTGACCGGAAAATTTCCGTAAAAATCTTTTTCTTCCCCACCTTAAACTAAGGCTTTCTCGCATTCTGACTGAGTATAACGTATTTTCTCGATCCCGGCGTTTACAGTTAAAACCTGAGTATAAGAGCTTAAGTTTTTCCAAGCTAGGCTAAGATGGTTCTTATAAAAATGTTGCTTTCTGGGAATTTTTTTTTTTTCATTATTTTTAAAGGTAAATAATGTAAATAATAATTATGTAGATGAAAATGAAATGAAACTTTAGTATTCAGAACAATGAATTGTTGAGTGAAATAAAACAGCCGAATAAAAATTGGATAAATGACCATAATTTCAATAAAGATTTAACATTTAAAATAATGGAAAAAAGGAAATATCGCAAAACAAATGTCCCTTTCAATTGTCAACAACCCTGACATACTAGTAGTCTTCGTCGACACATCTTGCCTCGTCGAGTCGTCTTCGTCGAGTCATCGTCTCGTTGAGTCGTCCTCGTCGAGTCAACTTCACCGAGTCATCCTCGTTGAGTCGTCGTCGTCGAGTCAACCGTGTCTCAGCGAGTCATCCTCGTGTAGTTATGGTGCCTCATCGAGTCATCCTCGCAGAGTCATCGAGTCCTCGTCGAGTCTTGGAGTGAAAATCGAGTCGTCCTCGTCGAGTGTTGAAGTACCGCTTGAAAATTCGAGTGTCTATTTATTTATTATTGAGCGTCGGTAGAAAGATTACTACGTTCCCAGAAACGGTGAGTGATCCCCCATCTCTTGATGAGCCGATGCCTAAACGGACGAAACGTGGCGTGAAATCGCTCTAAAGAAATCACAGCAATGTTTGTCACGGAGACAAGAGGAAATAAATAGATAAGAAAATTAATTGCAATGATAACTTCCCAAGATAATGAATAAAATTTTACAAAGGGACAATAACGGTTTTGGCCATAAAACAGATTAACACTCCCGGAAAGACTTCCAACCAACAAGTCGGCCACAGTTAAGCTCATGACCAAGTACATGCTGCGAGTACGAAGGCCTTTGTTCTTTATGAAAAGAATGATGGAAAGGAGGTTCACCGTTACTATAGCAACATACTCGGTGATGAACACGGTAAAGAAGATGACGCACTCGGAAAAAGAAATAATCATCTTGTCATGATCGAGTTATTTCGCAGATGGTGTTATTGTTTCTTGAGTTTGTGTTGTCCGCAACAGTTACCTGTAAGAAGAATAACCTTTGATCAGTATTTTGATCAAAAGAAAGGTCAGCATCGTAACTTGAAAGAACGATCGTAAAATACGATATAGTTTGTTTCCCCGTTTGTTTTTTGCTTTGTTTGTTTGTTTTTGTTTTTTGTTTTTCTTCAGTTTGCTTTGCGCCGCTACCTGAATTCTGAACGCCTCGAACACAAAATGCGCACTCCACTTCCAGATGGAAAAAAGGATGAACAATGCTATCTTATAGAAGAAGTGGATAATTTCTTTGTTTTCATTTGATTGTTTGTTTGTTTTTTGTGGGTTAAATTCTTGTCCACTCAATAACAGGTGCATAAGCCACGGAGGGTCAAACAATATGTGACTGTTAATTTGTTTGAATTTAGAGGAGATGTATCGGAAAACCAAAAGATTTTATATTCACTTCGATGAATCAACAAATCTGTAAAAGTATTAGACCTGCAGTCGACCTGTAGCAGTCGCCGTTTACGGCGACAACCATACCACTAGAAAACCTTTCAGGCAATGATAAGTTTTTCTTGTTCTTTTATGTTTCTATATTCATTGCAATATTTAACGATAACACAAGATTTTTTGATATTCTCTTACATCGGTCTCAAAATTCAAACTTACAAGCGTTCAAAACTATCTTATCAGTGTTTTCTCTGCGTTAAAAATGAAAGGGCATATGCAAATGCAAAACGTTCGCTGTTTAAACAACAAACACTAGTCATAACCTTAATATGGCTTCCAATTGTCTCTTAAATTAAAGAAAGGGAAAAATAAATGGAAGGAAATGTACCATTTAATAATAATAATAATAATAATAATAATAATTTACATTTATATAGCACAAACCTCTATATGAATATATTTGGTTGCGCTTTACAATATTGTTGTATTAAATTTATGTTAAAGGTGACTAAAGCATGAGAAACTGTTGAAAACTACAATAAAAAGTATTAAAAACTATAAATAATAATAATAATAATAATAATAATGATAATAATAATAAACGCTATAATAAAAGCCAACAATTAAATCTATTTAAAAACTAAATTGAAAAAAATGAGTTTTAACAGCAGTCTTAAAAGTGTCCAATGTCTTCATGTTGCGAATTGCCGAAGGTAATGCATTCCAGAGATAAGGTGCAGCTGACTGGAATGCCCGATCGCCAAGGGTTGGATGGCTCTTAATGCCTGGTAACTCGAGGAATATAGACTCATTTGACCTTAGAGAGTACAGTCAACTCTCCCCTTGCGGACACCCCGCTATAACGGACACCCCGATAATACGGACAGCAGATAAATTCCTGGCAAAAATAAATTACAGACGTTTGACTGAAATAAACTCCCGCTATTACGGACTCTCGCTACAGAGGACACTAACTTAAGGTCCCTACAGTGTCTGCTATAAAGGGAGTTGACTGTACCTGGATTGCTTTTTGATAGTGATGAAATCAATTAGATAATTAGGAGCTTGACCATATAAGCACTTAAATGTCAAAAGTAGAATCTTAAACTTTATACGGTAACTTATTGGAAGCCAATGAAGGTGGAAAAGCAATGGTGTAACATGACAGAATCTAGCTGGTCCGGTGACCAACCGAGCCGCGACAAGATTTTCTCGGCGCTCTGAGCACAAGTTTTCTTAAAGAGTCCATGTCTAAACGGCGGAAAGCAGTAAAGGACGAAGAACAATGAGAAGAATGGCGGTTAACAGTGCTGCTCAAATTCTCAGTTGCATTAAGGCTAACACGAAGATCCGATATTTTCTCAATAAAGAACGAACCCATGTCATTAGCCAAGGCTAACTTATCGCCGTGAGGTGCAAAAGGCGTATCTGCTGTCTGATTGAACAGTTTCTTTGTAGCAGCTAAAAGCTTTTTAAAACGCACCTCCAGTCCTTTTATTTTTATTTTTATTGTTTTATTTTTTTTCTACTTTCCAGTCTCCTTTTTAGCATTCTTTAAATAATTTGAATGGTTTCTGTTTGATTAGCAATTATTGTTTTCTTGATCAGAGCTACTGGATTAGAAAGCAGACGGGTTTTATTAAAGAGACAGGTTCACGGTTAAACGCATGCTCATTCGCCAAAACGCTGTTTTTCTGCCGAGAAACGCTGTATTGTCTATGCAAGCAACGTGATCGTGTCATAATGTTGTCAAGGAACCAATCTACACACTCCCCTGGCAGTCATTTACACTTGATCAACTTAGATATTTGCCAATAGCTGTAAATTAAATAACTATGGAGTAAATCCTTCGGGTGAACAATAAATTCAACGTTGGTAGTGTTGGCTAGACTGTTCACAGTCCCCTATTTTTCCGTGGGATCGTCGTGATATAGCGTGTCTTACCGTTAATGGCGGCCATCTTGATTTTCAAATGTACCAAAGGGGCGGGCGTCGGGGATTATACAAGTAGCTCTAGGGGGAGGGGGACGAGAAAAATAGAGGGACTGTAATAACATCACTGCAGCTCGCGTTCACGGAGCGCGTTGCACCAGCAACGCAGGCGTTTGATTGGTCATTAGACAATAGATGTTAATTTGCGTTGACAACGGGTTTAGTTTAGGTTGCCGACACTGACAAGACGTTGACAAGTTGTCGTTTCTATAAAACGTACGTCTTCATAATATCATAAGGCACATTGCGCAAACATACGAAGGAATTTTGGCATTTTGCGGAGAAATCACTTAAGCCAACATGCTTTTAAATTGAAGCACCCGAGAATGTTGTAACACCGTTTCTGCCAAGCGAATTGAAATTTAACGCTACGCCGACGCAAGAGAAACGACCTGTCAGAAATGCCTGGCTATTTATCAGGGGGTTTAACCGTTTTAATCGTGGTGAGCCGAGCATGCTTACGGGTGCCATTAGCAAAATGTTTCACGTGTGCTTTTTTGCCGATACTATTTGCATGAATGTCCCCGAAGTTGTATAAAATTATCGTTTCGAAAGGAGATATTTGTAAACACGAAAAATCGGTGCTAAATGTGTCTGGCATGTTTTTTTATCGCCAGCGGAGTTTCTTAATTAATTAATGGTAAAAGGCGTGAAATTCATGTCACGTCTCCTGAACGCGAGTTACAGTGATGTTATTACAGTCCCTCTATATTTCTCGCTTCCTCCTAAACTGTTCCCCGCCCCTAAGTAGTTTTGACACTCATCCAAGATGGCAACCCGTAACGCATAGCACTCGATCTCAACGATCTTACGGGAAAATAGGGGACTATGAAAAGTCTTAGTGTTGGCATAATCCACTAATTTTTTCTGCGATTTTAGTACTCCTCCATCCTACTTCATTTTACTCTGAAATACACTTCCAGCTTGAAACACACTCAGAGATCCCTGAGATACATGTGAGTGCGATTATTAGCCGATAGAATTAAAAGTAAATCGGAAAAAAGTATTTTTAATTAATGAGCATGCGTTTAACCGTGAACCTGTCCCTTTAAGAATAACATCAGGCTGCTTTCAGGGTCGATTCAAAGCAGCCTTTAAATTTTTTCTTTGCAATAAGCAGAGTTTTTAACAAGTCTACCCTGCGTGGCAGACATTTTCAAAGGATTTTGACCCTTCATCCCTCCCTTTATAGAACCAATTTCCTGCCTTATGCCTTCCATTTGAAAAGCTGCTTTAGGTAACAACCCTTTCCTATAAAAGAGCTCTACTTGATAAAGCACAAACATTGTTTGAATACTGACACTTTCTTTGGAGACTGAGTCACATTCTTGAATTTATCGACAGACAGAGCTCAGATAACAAACATCGATGTCATGAAACTCAGCGCAAAGAAGTAAAGCACCACGGGCTTACCTTTTTGTAAGTAAACTGGTCAACTATTCAAAAGACGGTCTTTCCTTCGCAGTAAGTAGAAGAGATCGCTACTCACTACGTCGCAGAAGGCCAAATACTCGTACAGCAATCTAAAATAAGGTTTAATAAACCCTTGAGTCTTCTATAAAATGTTAACCTATCGCTTGTGTTCGAAAAAGCTTATATTTAACCATAGGCGTACGGGAATTTTTTTGCCAGGAGGGGCGGTAAACCATTTGCCCAAAAAAATCTCGCAAGTTGCCCAAATTTTTACGAAAGAGTCGAAAAGAAATGAGGGCCATGTTGCAACAACATAGGCCGTCCTGACATAAGAAAGTGGCTCGATACAGTTTTTCAGGGTCAATACCAAGTCTGAGCATAAACTACGTCGCCATAAACAAACATTTGGAAAAATTGCGACCACAGTTGTATTAAGATGAGAATTTGTCATCATCTGGGTTGCAATGACATGGGAGCTGTCAGGGCAGCGAAATGACTCCATTACCTATTTTACTTCAGCAATGATTCTCGGCAAGGGGAACCTTACAAAATCGTTCTCAGGAGCTTTTTTCTCCGATACGGTCGCCTCGATGTTCGTGAAGTTTAAGCAAAACCTTAAGAGCGTTATCGAGACATTTTGGAATGAAGTTTTTATTATTAGAAATACGGTAAGAAAAGGAAAATTATGTCTTAATGTTTGGCCGTTATTACATAACGAAGCGCTTTTGACATGCAATTTCACCTCAAAGTAGTTTCAATCTTTTTAAAAACATTTGTGAAAAATCGTGGAAATAGCTCTGTTTGATTGCTAGAATCGAAAAAAGGATTTGATTAGTATGTATCGAGGCACTCTTGTTAGCAGTTTTGCAAACATTTCGGTCTACTTTAACAAATTAGCGAATAATTTCATGAAACCGCTCAATAGATGTTTTAAAAGAATTAAGATTCTTCTCGTTATACTTAACTACATCAGAAATTTCTGCAATTTGATTGGCTTAGAGCTGTGGTATTTCAGTTTAATTTGAAATACTTTCATGTGAAAATTACAAACCTTTTGCGGGTAGTAGTATAAACAAATACTCGTGATATTTCAAAATTGTCTCACATTTCACTCG